TGTGACAGTGTGAGGTGTATTGTGTAAATATGAAGCTGATGTGGGGTGGCTTCCGCCACCCCTTATTCCCTTCCTCCACCAAAACCCATAGTGCTGTGAAAATGTGAGGTGTACTGTGTAAGTATTAAACTGGTGTGATGTATGGTATGTCACCCTCACCACACCACATGCACCTCATTCGAAGACCGGTTGGGTGAGGATACTCTCCCAGGCCCAGACCCGATACAATCAGACTGGCGACAACAGGCTCTGAGGCAGGATCAATTATATCAGCCCTGGTGACAGTCTCCAGTCTGATACCCCTCCCCGGGGGCACTGCATCAGTCCAAATGGCAGGGAGAGGTGGAGGAGAGGAAGGTGACTCGGATGCATTGGAAGAGGCGACGTATGTGACGCTTAACCTCACGCCCTGCGCTGCTTTTCGTTCGAAGTGCTAAGGGTGCGGAAAGGAGGCCCCGAACAACAGCAAGATGGGGTGTGCCAAGGATTTTTGGAAAATTGGGTGTGGGGACACAGACAGAACTGAAATCCCCCGTGTTGGTCTGACAAAGTGAGCAATCTGGCGGGTTTCAGCGCGCGCGGACGTCACGACGCGGGGAAGTTTTGAATTCAATCCAAAAAGTACTGTCGGACTTCCCACCGGGCCACAGCTCGTCGTTTGGAGTGGAAGGGAGTGGGCATGTGTTTAGTATCCCGTTTTCGCACTATCTCCTGACGCCGCACATTACACAGTTCTGAATCTGACGTGAAAGGTCTCAATCGCGTGGCCCTTTCCTTATGCTCGTCCTCGTTCCGTGTTCGGTAATGGAACGCCTTCGACTGGTAGTGATCGAAATGTTGGCAATCACTGCACAAGGTGTTCGGCCAATGGGGTGCCACTGCCGGCCACGGGATGACGATCAACTTGTTGAAGGGTAGCAGCAGCGAGTACGGTGGAAAGTGCGTATCCACAATGACAAACCCAGCGCCTACGAACCCGGAACACCGATTCTCAGGAGGGAAATAATACCGCCCACTGATCTTTGCGACGGCTTCTCGTATGTCCCACTCACAGATACACATCCTATCCTCGTTATACGGGAAGGGACGAAGAGGGGATACGGGAGGTTGTCGCCTAGTCGGGTTGATCCCGTTAGTCTACATGGCAAACAGCCAGAAATAATTTAACCATTCATCACGTGCGTTCAATCCTAGCAATCCAATCGGAAAGGCCAGACAGGAGAAGCAGAGGGGGCGGAGAAAGAGAAAAGAAAGCTCGTGTGTGGCGAGACGCAGTCGCTATTTTGTGCTTAGATTGTGCGTCGCATACGTACTCGCAATATTCCAACTCAAAGCATTCCTACATTTCCAAATCCCAACAACATTGCCCCTGCTATCGACTCGCCCTAATCAAGATGAGTTTCGTATCCGTTCACTCTCTTCTCCCATGCATACATTCACTGTGGAAGGTGCGAAAATGACAACCATGCAATTTCCCAACAGGGTGGCATTAAGGGAAGAACCCTTAGTGGTCGATACATGTGCATCCACCGTTCACAAGACAGAACCCACTAGTTCGGGGGACTACCCAGGAAACTAATGGAAGAATTCCGGAGAAAACCATTCCGACGCAGTCGTCACATTCATTCCATCATACGCCAACTTTTGACTTATTACATAGAACCATCCGTACAAGGAAGAAGGAGAAGGAGAACTGCGACAGAAACAGACGGGGATATCAAGATCAGAGGGAAGAGTTACACTGAAATGGAGAGAGAAAAAGAAAGTTCGGCTTTACCGCCGCAAGGTCACACCAAAGAAGAGATTCGTAACCAAGAGGGCGCATTCGCCCTTAAATTCCAACACGGCCCCGGGCAAGTCATCCACTCAACTCAGATCACCTGTCCACATCTCCGTCACCGACGATCCCGACTGTCGTGCGTCATCCTCCACCACTGCGATCATCACCCCGCCAACTTAGTCTCGACGTGGGTTGCCTGGATCCCACAGTCCGTCGTGGCGACCTAGCGCAATGCCAGCCAGTCTACAGTCGGCTCGTCAGGACTTTCCGACTCGCATCGTACACATCACCTAGCCACTACTTCCCAGAAGCTGGCCGATGAGTTGAGAGAGGGTTTTGTGGGGGCGCCAACAAAATTTATAGTTGCGAGAAGGGAGAGAGATGAGGAGAAGGGGGGAGGGTAAGGAAGAGGAGGGCATAGGGGAGTTTTGGAGCGACCGCCCATCGAAAGCCATGTTGATCCCTCCTAACTCGACCTCAGTCAATCAGAATCGTCGTGCAGTAAGAACTTACACGGCGCTTCTCCTTGGCTGGATA